CTGGCGTGACCAGTGCCCTTTCCCCTGAGGCTTCAGTGATGTGGTCCGAGCTTGCTCATGCTGGGGAGGGGTCGGTGAGGAGTGGGCAGGGCTGGGGGAGGACCCCAGAGAGGCCTCTGGAAATGTGGCAGTGGGTGGAATGAATGGCATTTTATGTCTGAGTGGTTTTAGGAAATTCTTTGTGTTGAGCCAGAGACAGACTCAGCTGTGGATGAGGAGGGCAAGATTGTCTTAGACAGCCCCAGCCCTACACCCCTACTGCCCTTCTACGCTCTTCCCTGGCTTCCCTGTCAAAGGATAGAGAGGACTGACTCTCCACACCTCTGTGTGAAGCCAAAGCAATGGCTACCTGTCCTGGGTTTTCCCTCTAGCCCAGTGAGGGAATTCCAGGAATCAGAGAGCGGGGATGAAAGTGAAACTTTCTGAGGTGGAGTGGGGAGGTGGACTGATTCTGCTTGGATGTCATCATTCAGGAATTAATGATAGTGACCATGGCGATGGTGTGGCTCCCAGCTGCTGAGCTCTCACCTGCCGTAAATGTCAACTAATTTAAACTTACAGCATTGCATGTCCAATGAATATTGGCATTTCCATATGGTTCAACCTACTTTTATGAGGGCAGTGGTGGTTCAGGGATAGAATTCTTGCCTCCCATGCAGGAGACCTGGGTTAGATTCCAGCCAACGCACCTCATGTACAGCCACCACCAGTCTGTTGGTGGAGACTTACGTGTTGCTGTGATGCTGAACAGGTTTCAGTGGAGCTTCTAGACTAGGACTAGGAAGAAAGGCCTGGTGATCTACTTTTGAAAATCAGCCAATGAAAACCCTCTGGGTCACAGCGGTCTGATCCACAACTGATCATGGGGATGGTGCGGGACTGGCTAGAGTTTTGCTCCATTGTGCATGGGGTCACCATGAGTGGGGGGCTTGAGGAAAGCTAACAACAACAACAAAGCTATTATTATCCCGGTTTTACAGATAAGGAAACTGAAGCCCAGAGAGTAGTTTATGTTTTCATGGTCAGGTAGCTAGTAAAATGCCAGAGCCAAGGCTATGGACTGGGGCACTTTGCAACCCCGCCCGATCGTAGGCTCTGCTTGGCCTGAAGTCGTGTGTTGGTGAGGGCTCTGCCCAAAAGCCTAGGGTGGGGGTCCTTTTGTCTTTTCCTGTTCCCCACCTCGGCTCTCTCACAGAGTGGTGAGAGGAAAGATTTTAGGATCCAGGGAATGACAGCTCTTAGCTCCTTTCTCGGGAGAACAGAAGATGCCCCTACCCCCACTGACCTCTGCTATCTGCTGTCCCCCCTTACAGAGGTGGTGGGACACACCCAGGGGCCACTGGACGGGAGTCTCTACGCCAAGGTGAAGAAGAAGGACTCCCTGCACGGCAGCACTGGGGCCGTCAATACCACACGCCCCACCCTCTCGGCCACCCCCAACCACGTGGAGCACACACTGTCTGTAAGCAGTGACTCGGGCAACTCCACAGCCTCCACCAAGACAGACAAGACCGATGAGCCTGTCCCGGGCCCCTCCAGTGCCCCGGTTGCCCTGAGCCCTGAGGAGAAGCGTGAGCTGGATCGCCTGCTTAGTGGCTTTGGCTTAGAGCGAGAGAAGGAAGGCCCCATGTACCACGCCCAGCACCTCAGGTCCCGCCAGGCTGGGGTTCCTGCCGCGCCCTCCTCTGGCCGACATGTTGTCCCAGCCCAGGTGCATGTCAATGGCGGGGCTTTGACATCTGAGCGGGAGACGGACATCCTGGATGATGAGCTACCCATCCAGGACGGGCACAGTGTGGGCAGCATGGGTACACTGTCCTCCCTGGATGGGGTTACCAACACCAGTGAGGGGGGCTACACGGAGGCCCTGTCCCCACTGACCAATGGTCTGGACAAGCCCTACCCAGTGGAACCCATGGTTAATGGCGGGGGCTACCTCTACGAGTCGGCCAGTCGGGTGATCCCTGCCCATGCTGACCACCCAGCCCCTGTGCGGCCCTCCTACTCTGCACAGGAAGGTTTAGCTGGGTACCAACGGGAGGGGCCCCACCCATCCTGGCCACAGCCAGTGACCACCTCCCACTACGGCCATGACCTCAGCAGTATGTTCCGCTCTCAGTCCTTTCCGGAAACTGAGCCCCAGCTGCCCCCAGCTCCAGCCCGCAGTGGAAGCAGCCGGGAGGCAGTACAGAGGGGGCTGAATTCCTGGCAGCAGCAGCAGCAGCAGCAGCAGCAGCAGCAGCAGCAGCAGCCTCGCCCCCCTCCCCGTCAGCAGGAAAAAGCCCACTTGGAGAGTCTAGGGCTCAGCAGGCCCAGCCCTCAGCCACTGGCAGAGACCCCAACCCCTGGTCTCCCCGAGTTCCCAAGGGCAGCCTCCCAGCAGGAGATTGAGCAGTCCATTGAAGCCCTCAACATGCTGATGCTGGATCTGGAGCCGGCCTCAGCTGCTGCCCCCCTTCACAAGTCCCAGAGTGTCCCAGGGGCCTGGCCAGGGGCTTCCCCACTCTCCTCTCAGCCCTTCTCCAGATCCTCCCACCAGTCTAAGCCACTGACCCAGTCTAGATCTGGCTACATCCCGAGTGGGCATTCCTTGGGAACTGCTGAGCTGGCCCCACGGGCCTCCCTGGAGTCCATCCCGACTGGAAGGTCTTACTCGCCTTACGATTGTCAGCCGTGTCCAGCTGGGCCTAACCAGAGTTTCCGTCCAAAGAGCCCAGCCTCCTCCTCCTCCTCGTCTGCCTTTGTTCCAAATGCCCATAGCCCTCAAGGGCCTCAGCAGCCCCCGGCCTCTCTCCCTGGCCTGCCCGCACAGTCTCAGCTCCCACCAAAGGAGGTAACTTCAGACCCATCCCGAACTCCAGAGGAAGAGCCATTGAACCTGGAAGGGCTGGTGGCCCACCGGGTAGCAGGTAAGAACCTCAGGGGCCATCAATCCTAGGTGTTACCTCCTTATTCCCTCTGCCCCTCCCTGCCTTGTTCTTGGCTGGTCTTGCTGGGGGAGGGAGTGCAGACATAGCAATCAGCCTTTGGCTGGTGCAGCTTTGGCCCAGGCAGAGACAGTTAGGAGCCACGTGCTGGCCATACCTTCCTGCATTCATGCCTGCTAGGCACCAGGCCAGGCACTGAGATTCAGAGATGATTGTCTCTTGGGTTCTGCCCTCAAGGAGCTTACAGTCTAGTGAGGGGACAGGCACACAGACATATAATGCTACCAGAGTGCAGTGTGTTCTACTATGGAAGTGGGCACCAAGGGAACCCAGGGGAAAGCAAGACCTACCACCTCGGGCAGTTAGGGCAAGCCTCCTGGAGGTGGTGACTTTGGGGCTGGAGTGTAGATGTGGATGTTCTAGGCAGAGAGAAGATGCTTTCTGCAGCTGCCTGCAGTGCTCTGTCCTCGCACTTAGTTTCCATGGGGAGGAGTGGGGAAGGGTTGAAGGAGGCCTCCGCAGACACCCCTTCCCTCCTGAGCCTTCCCAGAGGCCACTGCGAAGCTGGAGACAATGCTCCTTGGCTCTGAGTGTTCAACCCTGAGGGTATCTTTTAGGACATTTCTCTGAATGGGGTACGGCAAGGTCACCCTTTTTGGTCAGATTTCCTGTTAGTCCTCCTTGTAGGACCAGCCTGTATGGGAAACAGGAGCTGGGAAACGAAGCTGCATTTCCCTGTCAGAGGATGGACACATCTTCCCAAGAGGGGAGAGGCGAGCAGGGGGCAGCCAGAGGGACTCTTTAGAGAGATAAAGGCAAGAAAGCCCCCAGCAGGGCTGAGCATCCAGTACCATGTTGGGGAGGGTCAATGGTCCCTGAGGCTCTAAGCCCATGACTATTCTATGGGGAAGCCAAACTGGGCAGGTGATCCTGTAGGTTGATTTTGTGGTGGAGATGACACCAGGCAGGGGTGGTGCATAAGAGTATGCAGCTAGGTGAGCCTTGTGCCTCCCCTCCACTCAGGGAGGAGAAGAGGACCCGAGCAGCTGGCTCTGATCTCCACCCTTTTTCCTAAATTTAGGGGAAGCTGAATCACAGGCCAGCTGCAGGGAGGGAAGAAGACACCCTCCCTAGGGATGGATGGTGGGTTTGGGGAAGCAGCTAAGGGAGCAGGCCAGCTGGCTCAGGCTAGGTCTAGGACCTGGGTGTAGGGCATGGTTGCCCTCCGGCTGTACTTCAGAAGAGAGCAGAGTGCACAGTTCCAATACCTCCTCTGCTGGCTCTTGTGGTGAGAGCTCTTAGAGAAAGCAGAGACCTATCCTGGAACTCCTAGTTCCCCAGGTCACCGTGGGTCTTCAGGGCAAACACTGTACTCAGGCTCTGGGAATTGTGGGGCTTCCCGGTGGTTTTGCTCTTTTCCTTCTGCGCAGTGGGCATTGTTACAGAGCCATCGAGACTCAAGCAAGGCATTTCTTTAGAGTTAGCCTGTCCAATCTTCTGCCTCCAGGCAGGGTAGACTTTCCCCCTACTTCAGACCAGCAGTAGCCTCACAGATCCTTGAAGGCCCTTCTCCGTGCTACCTATGGCCCCAGGGCCTTTGCCCAGAGTCAGGGCTCATTGGAACCACCTCTAGAGGTTACCTGATCAAAGGGATAGAGAATGGCAAATAATCTCTGCTTTTAGCCCAAGTATTAGGCATCAGACATTGGCTAACCTGAGAAGTCTGACTTGCTCTCGATCGGGCCTGGGATTGAGCATTTGGCTGGAGGAGGGGAACTGCAAAGAAGTTAGAGTTTCACTGAAGTCTGTAAAGATTCCCAAGAGGACACAGGCCCAGTTCCATCCCTGAGGAAGCTAAGGGACTCTCCACATGTTAGGCAGAAAGGAAAGACAGAATCCTAAGGAGATGGCAGGTCTGGGTTCACGTTACTAAAAGTCATGTTCAGAGTGTGTGCAGGGACCTCTGTGGTAGCAAATGCTTCTGATGATAAGAATGGGGTGAGAAGAGTCCCTTTGGGAGGGGCTCAAGGTAGTTATGGCTAAGCGTCATGAACCTCCTTACCTCTTACAATCCCCATACCAAAGCCTGACTCTAACCTAGGGACAGAGGGCACTCAGCAGGAGACTTATTTTACCTCCACTCTCCCCTATACCTCTGGGGGTGTATAGAACACTGAAATGGGAGTACTTTTTCCATTGGAGTACTGGAGCCAGCTCTTACTGGCTTGCAAGTGAAGATTATTCAGTATTCAGGAATTTTGAGAGCCAGTTGTTACACTATGGGTAGCTTGAAATTCACACCACAGAAACTGATGATCCGAGCTTCATCCCCTGGAGGGCTGGTCTACCATTACCTTTACCTGAAAATCAAAACACAGGATGAGTTGCTCTGTAATGCTAGGGTAATATGCTCCATGGGATGGTCCAGATGGATCTGCTGCCTTCTTCCTTATCCCACATCTGGGCCCCTGAGATAATGACCCTTTTGGATTCATTGTCGGCAGATACCCTTTCCTCCTATATATATATGTATATATATATATATATATATATTTCTTTTTTTTTTTTGGAGGGAAGAGGGATGAGGCTACCCAAATTTCCTGGGGATTTAGTTCACCTCCCAATATTTTGCAGAGTTGGAGGTGTGGCCTAGGAACAGTGACCACTCTAGCTGACTGGTAGACAGGATCCAGGAAACACCTCTCTGGGGGAGCAGGATGAATTTCCTCCCTGTACCAGAGCCCTTCCTTATAGCTCTCCTAGAGCTTGCTCAAGAAGAAGCTATAACCCTAATGGGCCCCGGAGGGATGTCCACCTTGTAGGGGATCTCCCCTGAGCCTTTTCTTTCCTGCCACTTTCCAAGGTCATGACCATCAACCTCCATATCCTCTAGCCTCTCAGGATTTGACTGCCAAGAAGTCATAGGAAGGGATATTGTTGGCACACAGCGTCTCCATCCCCCAGTCCTGCTACCATCTCCACCAACTGTCAGTGACTCAGTCAGGAGAAGGGATGAGCTGTGCAGAGGGGAAGTCACATTTTGTCCCCCAGGACTAGAAAGTTGCCTCTTTGGTCCATGTTCTGTCATCAACAGAATTTCTTATGTCAGCAGTTCCTACTTGCACAACTTCCTCAGTAGCCCTTTAGGGGGTCTGCAGTGGTTATCTAGATAAAGGGGCAGAGGCAGGACAAATGTGTATAAACAGTCTGGGAGCCAATGAGGATAGACTCCAGCACCACCTCTTTTTGTTCGTTCTACATTCTTTTGCAAGAAGCTGGAACATAAGCTTCAACATGAGTAACCTAAGAAATTCAGGTCTGAGAGAGAACCTTCTCAAGGCCCAGAACTTGATCTGGTTTCTCCTGGCTTTTCTCCCTTAGGTCTATCTTTCCCTCTTTGGCTGCCCTCCGTACTTCAGTACTATGCCCCTAGTTCATTCCACTTTCATCCAACCACCTTTTATGTCATATTTCAGCTTAGAGCTCAGAGAATGTAGCCACAGGTTTTTGTTTTTTTTTAAACTTGATGAAGGTACGTACCAGAAATCTATAGTACGTATCATACTTTCTTAAGAAACATTAGAAGAATTTCCATTGCAGTCAGGGACAAGATAAGGATGCCTGTTATCACCACTATCATTCAGCAATGTATTGGCTGTCCTAGTCAATGCAGCAAGACAAGAAAAAGAAATAAGAGTCAGAGTTGGTGAGTCTAATCAAGTTATCTTATGTTCCTGATTCTGTGACTATACTGATCTCAGATGTCTCTAGAGGTAGAGATTTCAGTGCATATTGGAAATCAGATATGAATCTTATCCTTAAGGAATCTAAGGTTTAGTAGGGGAAGAAAGAACTGGAACTTTAAAATCAAACCATTTGTAATAAGAGAAGTACGGACAGTTCTGTGGGAGTGAAGTGAAGCAGGAGAGATCACTATCAGAGAGATTGGAGAGGCTGTGTGTTGAGTATGAATTTTAAATGGATCCTTAAAATATGGATCAGATTTTGAAAGTGGGTGGGGTCATTAGAGAGACAAAGTTCATAGTGAACAGTTGGATGAAGACAGGAAAGCATAGGAAATATTTGAAGAATGGTAAATAGATTGAGAGCATATAGGCTATGTGAGGAAGAGCCAGGAAAAGTAGCCTGGGACCTGTCTCTAGATGCTTCAGATAGCAGACTAAGGAGCTTGAATTTTACCTAGCAACAATATGGGAAGCCATTACTGTGATTTAGTCAGGGGAATGTACCATGATCAGAGTTAGAGGTTAGAAAGATGTGTCTGGTGGCTTTTGACAGGAAGAATGGAAAATAGAGGAGTGAGAGTAGGGAGATGCTAGGAAGTTATTATATGGCCTAGGTGATGGGGGAGTGGATTAGAGTGCTGACCATGGGAATTAAAAAGAAGAGATGGATGCCAAGGACAATGTGGGAGTAGAACCAATACACTTACAAATTGATTAGATGTAGTGAGTAAGGTAGAGGTAGACATCAAAGATGATTCTGAGGGTCCATAAATAGAAACAGAATGGTGGTTCCATTAACAAGTTTGGAGTCAGGAGGCAGAGCTGGTTTGGTGCAAGATGAAGAACTCATGTTAAGTTATGCTGAGTTTGAGGTGACAGTGGAGCCTCTAGGTAGAAATGTGTGGAAGGCAGTTGAACATCTGGAGTTGGGGCTTAAAAGAGTGGCAAGAGCTCTATATTTTGGAGTCATCCTCACAGAAGTGAAAGTTGAAGCTTTGAAAATGGGGAGAAAAGAACCTAGTATACATGGTCATGAGGGAAAGTGGAGACTGTAAAAGGGACTGAGAACGAATGTTCAGAGCAGTGAGAGGAGACTCAGAACAGTGCTTTATCACCAAAGTCAAAATAGTGAAGGATTTAAAAAATGAAGGGTGTAGGGGTTAGCAATGTCACTGTGGAGAGGTCATGAGGAGGAGGACTGAGAAAAATTCACTGAGTGTGCCAATCAGTTGTCCA